AAGGGCATCTGCCCCCTTGTTCTCAATACCCTTTTTGTACTGTATCTCATAATTAAACCCTAAGAGTTTGGAAATCCATTTTTGCTGGAAAGGAGAACTGATCCTCTGATCAAGCAAGTGTTTCAGAGCTTGTTGGTCAGTTTTGATAACAAATTTGTACCCCAAGAGATAGTGCTTCCACTTCTGCACAGCCATGATGATGGCCAAGAATTCCCTTTCATAAATAGGTAGACCCTGATTCTTTTGACTGAGCACTTTGCTCATATAAGCAATAGGCCTGCCATTCTGCATAAGAACAGCTCCAACACCTTTCCCACTAGCATCTGTCTCTAGTATGAAAGGTTGAGTGAAATCAGGGAGAGCCAGCACTGGAGCTTTAACCATAGCTGCCTTAAGTTGGTTAAATGCCCCTTCTGCTTCCTTATTCCAAGTAAAACCCCCTTTTTTGAGAAGGTTGGTTAGATGTTTGCTAATAATACCATAGCCCTGTATGAATCGTCTATAATACCCAGTTAAGCCAAGAAAACCCCTAAGCTGTTTGAGGTTTGTAGGAATAGGCCACTGAGTCATGGCAACAATTTTCTTAGGATCAGTAGAAACACCCTCCTGAGAAATAATGTGACCCAGATAGTCGACCTGTTTCTGGCCAAATTGGCATTTACTTTTCTTAGCATATAACCTATTCCCTCTCAGAATCTGTAACACTGCCTCAAGGTGGGTGAGATGATCCTCCTCAGACTTGCTATAGACAAGAATATCATCAAAAAATACTAGCACAGTCTTCCTCAGCTGATTTTGAAAAACCTGATTCATGAGGGATTGAAAAGTTGCTGGTGCATTGCACAACCCAAAAGGCATCACTAGGAACTCAAATTGGCCATGATGGGTATTAAAAGCAGTAAGATGCCTATCTGCTGGCCTCATTAAGATTTGGAAATAACCAGATCTGAGGTCAATTTTTGAAAAAACCCTTGCACCATTCAGCTCATCCAATAATTCATCAATGATAGGTATTGGAAAATCATGTTTGATGGTTAAATTATTCAAATACCTGTAATCTACACACATCCTCCATGTAGAATCCTTTTTCTTGACAAGTAACACAGGAGAAGCAAAAGGGCTGGTACTATGTTGTATCAAACCAGAGTTCAATAACTCTTGCACAATCTTTTCAATCTCATTCTTTTGACTGTGGGATACCCGATATGGATGTTGATGCTTTGGTAAGCTGGCATCCTTGAGTATTATCTGATGTTCAACACCTCTGACAGGGGGTAGACCTGTAGGTTCCTCAAACACATCAGAATAAGCTTCTAATAGTGCAGTGAAGTGTGGGTTCTGAGAAGCATCTACTGAGGGAGTTGTAACCCAAAACATTTCTTCAATCTGAGATGGGAATTCCTGGTGGACCAATTTGAATAGGGCAGGTCCTGAAATGAGGTGACAATCAACCCCAGAAGTAAGGGCTTGTATTTTCACCTTTTTGCCACCCAATGTGACAGTAAAAGTCATATGCTCATAGTCTAGCTCAATAGGGGTACAAGATTTTAGCCAGTCACCTCCTAATATAAGGTCACACCCCACATTATCCAAAATTCTAGGGGAAAAGGTAAAAGAATGCCCCTGCATCTTCCATGTAAAGTTAGCAACCGTGCTAGCACTGACTATTCTGCTACCATTTGCCACTCTCACCATGATGGGTTTGACTCTAGTCATGGAACACCCTAACTTCTTAGCCATAGATTCTTGTATGAAACTGAGAGTGCTACCAGTGTCAATGAGGATTTGTAATTTTTCATGTCCCACAGCTCCACATACCCTCATAGTTGTAATCCCTCCATCTCCAGTGACCGCATGTAGTGTCACTTGTATTTCCTCCATGTCACCAGCATTGGGTAGAAAAGAAACACAATCTGATGGAGGGTGAGCATACATGGACTCTTCTTCTTCAGTCATGATCATGTAAGAGACCCTGTGCTTGCATCTGTGCCCTTTGGAGAATGGTTCATCACAGTTATAGCATAAACCCCTTTCTCTTCGGTTGGCCATTTCTGCTGCTGTTAACAATTTGAAATGTGGAGGTGCAGAGTGAGAAAAAGGTTTTGGTAACTCAGGCTTCTTCTGAACTGAGGTATAGGGTAAATGTGGTTTGTTGGTGCCTTTGAGTTTCATAGTGAGAGCCTCCAGGGTATGCAATTGTCTTTGGCCGAGGTCAATGGTCTGTTGCAAGGTAGTAGGCCCAAACATTTGGATGAAAGATTGCAATTCATCACTGAGTCCACTAATAAAGCTGGCAATAAAATAATCCTCAGAGTAACCCCCACTGTTAAGCAAAAGCATGCATGATCTCAGTTCTTCAAACCTGTCAACATACTCAGAATAAGAACCAGATTGTTTCAACTTGTTGAACTCTGCAATAATCCTGGTTTCTTTCAAATCCTCAAATCTGGCTGAAATGATTTCTAAAAATTGAGCCCAGGTGACTTGCCCTTGCTTACTGCCAAAACTCTGGAACCACTGACTTGCCTTACCATCAAAATGCATAGTAGCCATAGCCACCTTTTGGGAATCAGGGATATTTGGAATTAGTTGGAAGTAGGACTGACATTTCAGCATCCAAGCTCTAGGTTGGGATCCATCAAAACGAGGGAAGTCTATCTTGGGAATAGGGCTAATGAAATTTGAAGGAGGGTTTGTGGTGAGTCTGTGAGCATGGTCCGACTGAGAGCTAGAACCGGATTTCCCTAGACCTGAGTGCATGTCATGGGATCCCAGTATAGATTCAGTAGTATGAGGGTTCACCTTGTTGATATTGAGTAACTGTAGTTGAATGGAAGCCATGGTGTTGGTTATGTGCTCAAATTTTGCACCGAAATCAGAGGACAACTCAAGGATTTTGTCTTGTATCTTCATTTCTGCTGCATCTCTCTTCAAGCTTTCAGTATGCACCAATTGGTCAATTTTCTTCTGTGCCTCTTGCAGGTCCTTGAACCGGGTTGCTTCAGCCATAACTCCGGGAGATCAAAGTGGCTCAAGCTGATACCAATTGTTGTGTTTAGTTGTAATTTATGCTAAGTAATTTAATAAATGTATTGATTGAGCAAACTGTAACTGATAAGAATGAGAACGAGAGGGGGGGGAGAATAGAGACTTGAGGAAGAAGATGAGAATTGGGAAATTTTACTTGATTCCTCCTAACAGAAAACATGCGTTACATATAGCATCTTTTTTCGCTGGGCCCACTGACAAATGAAAAACTGCCCTCGGCATTCACTTAACTAACAAAAAGGTTAAAAAACAACTGCTAATAAAATGATGACAAATGGACGATTCTAATTAAAATGACAATTTTCCTAAATTCAATCCCCACGCTCCACGTGTCGTCCTCTTAACTTCACTTTAACTTGTCTGAATTGAGACCAATCTTCAATCCTGGTCCCTAATTTTCCATTTCTTCTTCCACTGTGAACCCTAAAACCTTTTCATTTTCTTCGCTTTCTTTCAAAATCGACATTTTCTCCTTCAATCCTCCTGCGTACATGACAAAATGTTTGTCGAATTAGGTCCTGGTCCCATTCTCGACCCCTAGCTTAATCAAATCATTGACCCTCTGAACCCTAGTCTTGTCCCCCCCAAAACAGCATTTTTAGGTTTGAAAAATGATTTGTTTGGGGTCCAGGGGAGTCCCAAACTTTAATAGTCCTTCCATTTCCTACCTCATACCAAGCTCCTAAACTAAAGGATTTTCTAGCACTCAACCAACTTTTCCAAAGCCAAGAGTCCTCATGTTTGGCTTGAACTTCCATAAGACTCCTATCCCAAAATTATTTCCCTTTTAACACTTTGCTCACTAACAAGTTTGGAGAATTTTGAATTCTCCACAATTGTTTAACTAGCAGGGACTCATTAAAAGCTCTAAAGTCTCTGAACCCCAAACCCCCATATTCTTCTGGCCTAATCATCTTACCCCATTCTACCCAGTGAATCCTATTTCCCTCCATATCATTCTTTCCCCATCAATAATTAGCAATGTCCCTGTGTGGCTACTCAAATCCAGGTTTCATTTCCAGTGACCTTGCTGACGCCTTCTTTTTTTCCGGTGAGATCTCAAGGTGACGGTTGTAAGATTTTGCCAACAACGAAGGTTTAACAAGGACGCCTGGAAGGCTCCGATCGACAACTGCTTGAGCGGCTCCAAGGTTAATTACTACAGTTTCGGGCCCAGGCTTATCGGTTGGTTGAACCTAGGCTCGTTCGTCGTCATCGCCACCTACGAATTGGGACTGTAATAGACGCCCGCCATTTTTTTTTAGATCGAGCAGGCTGAGAACTATGCCTCTGTACTCAAGGTTCGATTACGTGATCCTTTGTATGGGAAGATAAAGGCTTTTTCTGTTTAGGATTTGTTCTTAATTGTTGATATTGTGCACCGAAAACTGTCGTTGTTAACATTTTCTTCTTAGAATTGTAATTTTTACTCAATTATACTTAACTATGTAGATTATCGAGGTCTTAAATGTTACGTTGTCGTCTATGCGAGAGAGATTTTCTCCATTGGCTATTTGTAAGAAAATGGTTCAAAAGAGGTTGTGGATGATCGGTTTTGGTGACTCAGATGCGTCATATTGATTTTTATTATCAATATTTGTGTTTATATGTATTTTGGTGTTAAGAGTGGAATTTCCCCCAATTGTTGGAGTTAACCACCACAGGAACAATATTTGTTATAGCTTGTTTTGAAGAAGTATGCAATATTAGCACCTTTTGTTATGTCATAATGTTCTATCTGCATGCATGTATTTTTAGATAGTAAATCCTGGTCATCCAAACTTTCTCTCTTGAGGTTCATATGTAATTTTGGCAATCGGTCTAATTTTGATTGGCTGCCGAGTAACATATGACTACCGAGAGTGCTTTAAAGCCCAGTAAAGCCTTAGTCGGAGTACATGGAGTCTGTTTGGACTCTCATTTGTCGTTTACCCTCCTAGAGATAAAACAACATGGGGATTTCGATGAGTCGCCTTGTGGACCTTCCCATTCTGGGAGCGGGCAAAGGCTTATCAATCAGGCAGCCAAAAGATTCCCAATTCATAACACTTTCTTATGTTCTATTACCAACTTATTTCTTATGTTCTATTATCAACTTAAAAAAATGTAGGTATTTTTTTTTTCTTTGTCACTAAGAAAAAAAAAACACTATACTCTCATTTAAGTTTTTCTTTACTTTGAAAACCCACTTACATCTAATAATATTCTTGCCTTTACTAGAGACCCTGTTTGATTTCTAATGAGGGAATCATATTTTGTTTTCACTGCATTTCCCCACACATCACTATGCATTGCTTCTTGAACATTTTTGGGCTCAATGTTTAGAGATGAAGAAAATTCTTTAGATCTTTGCTTTCCTATTTTTGATCTTGTGTTCATAGGATGTAAGTTGGTGTTTATGTGATTATGTGAAGTAGTTTCATCAGGAGTTATAGGCAAATCATCAAAGAGCGGCATTGTAGCATGAGATCAAACAGATTCTGGTGATAAGTTGGCAGGTGAGCTATTTCTGTTACTTACTTTCTGGGATTGGAAAGTTATATGTTGCATCATGATGTGGTTCTCGGTTACCAGAAATTGAGTTAATGTTAGTATTTGGACATTTGGGTTGGTTAGTTCATTCTCCTCTGGTTTTCGTGACTGAGGTTTTTATTACTTGTAATTCCCATAACTACAGACTATTTGTTGATGTTATTGATATTCATTTGTTTTCCTGTCAGACTATTTTGTTAATGTTGCTGACATTTGGTGGGGGAATGAAGATGTAGATTACATCGAACGAAAACTTTTTCAATTGATGTGCTCCTCCCCCCTCAGAAAATAATACCACGAAATTTCACCTCAATTCCTTTGTTTTCCAGTGGTTGTCTTCAAGACTTCAAGTCGAATGACTTGTGTCTTCTGCATCAGCTACACAATGGTACACACTTGTCAGTGAACAACATAATCTTCTTCTGAAACACTCCCATTATAGTTTAAGATATGGTGAAGCTTGCATGGCGTAAAATATCACACATATCATAGTTTGTTTATTTCCATTGGTTATTGGTTCCTGATTTGCTAAAATTGAGTTGAGGAAGATGGTTCACAGCTCTGTATCGTCATTTGTTAGTGTAAGTTTGATCGAGGTTGAGAAAGTTGATGTTGGTAATAGTATTTTTGTTCACTCTGATGGGGAATATGTAGGGTTGCTTCCAAAATGTTTACAATTTGCCTGGTGCTATTGATATGATACTCTAGATTAGGATGGATGTATTTTTCCAGAAAAATCATGCATGATTAATTGATAACTATGCTTTTGCTTCACCCATGAACAATTTGGCTGAGTTTGCATTAGCTTGTGGCTTCAATATTGTAACATATAATTAATGGTTTTCCTTTAGTCTTTTGCTTTTGAACAAAAAGGGTTTTAATCAACCTGAACAAACAAATTACTTGTTCAAAGTGAGAGAGAGGAAAAGAAACATAGTTCCTCTGAGAGTCTTATTCTGAATCAGTTACAAACACAAGAACCTTAAAGACACCATGAAACACCTACACCAACTCCTTTTCTTGAGCCCCACTTTTCAGATAGTCAACAAACTTCCCAATGCAATCATCATTAACTTTCCTATTCCCAAAAACCCCATCAGCAGCTTCCTTGGCACGCGCCCTTAATCTCTCCCCTTCCTCCGAAACCATAGCTTTCCTCAAAGAACTCGCAACGCCATACCTCGTAAAAGTTCCATCTTCGTCCCTCTCGACCTCCATGGCCAATCCCTTGTCCACCATCAGCCTCGCGTTTAGCGGCTGGTCAATCACAAACGGCAAAAGCACAAGACAATGTCCGTATATAGCCGTCTCTATAATGGATCCCCACCCCGAATGGAACAGAGAGCCCCCTATAGATGGATGCCTGAGGATCTCTCTCTGTGGGGCCCACCCTTCGGTATGAACAAACCCTCTTCCCACTGTCCGCTGGGAAAATCCCACCGGCAGAGCCTCATCCGGATTGGGCTCTCTCAGGGCCCACAAAAAGGGAAGCCCAGAAAGTTCGAGCCCATGTGCTATCTCCAGAACCTCCTCTTTCTTGAGCTTATATTCGCTCCCGAAACTCACAAACACGACGGAACCCGGTTTTTGCCCGTCTAGCCAGTCGAAAACTTTCTCCCACGGCCCGTCTTTGATTGTTCTTCCTCCCATCCCTTCGGGAGGAAGAAAACCCAGCGGGAAGACGGGCCTTTTGGTAATTTCCGAGAGCAGCTTCAGGTAGTCGGGCTCGAACGCCGGGCTCGTGCGTATGGCTACGGCCCGGCTGCCGTTAACCAATTTTGCCAAACGAGTCCCTGCCGACTTTCCCACGGCATCTAATCCGTACATGACGCTGTGCATCGCGCCTGCCTCGTGACCCCTGCAGAACACTTTTGAGGGAAAATCGACCCATTTTGGGGGGGACATTAAATCCTGAGGCGATCTACGGTCCTCCTCGTGTGTCCCGAAGAACACGGCAGTGCTGGCACTTGCGACGAAGTTTGTAATTAAGGGGATTTTCAACTCTTGAGCAATACCGACTGCCCAATCTGGGAAAAAGTCAACTATCAGCCAGTTTGGGGGTTTATTTGCTAGGTAATTTTTTATGGGGGATTGGAGATGATCAAAGGCTATTTTCAGGCTGTGCATTTGATCTGGCGGGATGTCTACGGTGGCTTCGGCGTTTTCGGGGAGGGGATGGGAGGGGAGGTTTGGGAGAGAAAGGGGTATCAAGTGTATGAAAGGGGATAAATATTGGGGGATTTTGGGGAGTCTTTGGATATTTCTTGGGGTGGAGAGGAAAGAAACGTGAATGCCGGATTTGGCTAAGGCGATGGAGAGGTCGAAGAAGGGGATGAGGTGGCCGAACGCCAGCCATGGGAGCATCACGACGTCAACTTCCGCCTCCTTTTCGCTCATATTTCTGTTGAGTTAATTTTCAGGTTTCCATTCTCTTTTCTGTGTGTGTGTGTGTGTGTCAAAACAGAACAGAGCTGAGTTATGTGAGACACCAAAAGCCTGGTTGTCATTATATAATTGACTGCTAGCTAGTATAGATTATCATCGTTACAGATTTTCATGTACAGATGTCAAAAGAGTCTCATGCAGCGGTCTACGTGGTGAATCCGGGTAGAATTTCACGGACTACCTACACATGATATGCTTTATTTTTTGTTTTTGTATGCTTTTGTTCCACTTGATTCATTTCTATTTTTAAATCTGTCATTCCGTATTTCTTAATCTTATTTTTTCATTCTCTAATATCATTTAATTACATAGTTTGGAGATTCTTTTATCTATATATATTTGTGTAAATGTGTTGATTTAAGTTGGTCTATTTTTTTTTTTTTTTAAGAAAAAAATAATAGGCCAATTTTGGTTTGTGTATGTTTTTCCAAAAGTTTATCTATTTTTATTTAGACTAATCAAAACGTTCAACAATTAATTGAAATATTAATTTATATTTTTGTATAATTACTTAACTGATTAATTATTAATTAGTTAGTTTGAAATCGTATTTTATAATTTTGATTTACGCTAAAAAAATAAATAAAATTTCTTTTATTTAATGTGAAATACCTTGATTAAACATTCCGAAGAGTTACGTTTATTTATTTACGAAATTGCATATACAATATAATCTATTTATTGATATAAATTGTTATTGATAGAGATCGCATTTGTTAAATCTAAGATTAGAAATTAATTATGTCTTCATATGATTGTGAGAAAAAAATTTAGAAAACCAAAATATGTTAGAATTAAGCATATGTGATAATGCACCAAAAAAATATAGGAGTAATTAATGTTAAAATTGTTTGTGAAGATATAGTATGAAACCAAACTTCTCGAGTTCTTAAACTTGTAAATTAAGAGAAGTCGAGCCCTCGAGAAGATTCACAAGTATTCATTCATTCATAAGCATTCGATGTGGGGTTTCTTACCACGCTCTAATTCTCTATAATCGTCGATATTATGGTTGAGGTGTATTTGTGAGTAGGCATCAATTAGATCTCCCGTTATTAAGTGGGGAGCGTCCCATGTATCCGATGGTAAAAATGTGTACACATGAGATAGTCTTCCGTTGTCGAGTGGGAGCGTCCCATATATCTGACGGATGAGTACAGTTCAAACCAGTTTTATTCATTTTCAAACTAATATTATAATATTTGTTATTATGGCGAATAATTGCACAGTATGTTATCCCAGCATAGTTGTTTTACTCACCCCTTATTTTCTTTCAGGTTGATCGAGTTGGCGATAGACACAATGGGCGAAGGTGGTCCTTTTATTTGATTAAGTAGTATGCTTCCGCTAAAAACTTTTCAGAACTTGTTATTTCAGACGTTAGGCAAATATTTGAGACTATGTTTGAATGTTTGAAACTTTCAATTTTATTGTATGAGAGTATGCTTTAAGCATGAGATGAGAAGTTGAGTTAGCATTTGGGAAGAGGGTTTCCCATTAGAACTTAAGTGCAAAACTTAAGTAAAGCGTAAAAGCAAGTCAATTTCAGAAAATTTAGAAGAAATAGAAGTAAGGTACCCTAAGAAGTTTAAAAGTTAAAGTGTCTTCGAAAAAGTGAAAAATTGTTATTGAAAAATCGGTACTTTTCTAAAGATCAGCAGAGGGGCCTGGCCTTACAAACAAATAAGTCGAGCTCGAGATATCACTAACCGAGCCAAGTTGTGCTAGCGAATCGCTCGATTCATTTAACAGCTCAATATGCTCTTCAACAAAACTCTCGGTCCGGCTAAGTACCACAAACACAAAGAACTTAAAATGTAGAAAAGGTGAAAGATCAATAAGTAGAAAAATTGATGACATAAGCAAGCTCGACCAGTAGGTAAAATGGAAGGCGAAATCAAAAGGGACCAGCGAATGTTGCACTCATGAAACACAAAAGTAAAAGTTTGTCTCATGAAACCACTTACGCTATCCCTCACGCAATGTTGGTGCCTCCGTAAGTTGAGAACACTGTCAAGACCAATACATATGTAGCAAATGCAATCATCAAAGAATTAATCTTCATGAGACAGTTGAACAATAATTTCGTGTACAACGTTCATTACTGATAACCCTACCTCATCAGCTTAAATCGGCTCAAATCGGTGACAAATGAAGAAGAAAAAAAAGTACAGAAAGAAAAGACGACAAAACACATGGCAAATCTCACAATCCAGCCAAAAAATTCTCAAGTTAATTTTTCCGAACATCTGCCAAAATAACATAGATCGTCTCCTTTCCCCGTGAACTTTTCAAGAATTAAAGAAAAGACACCTATAATTACATCTGACCTAGCGCTACACCGTATATGATGATCTTCACAACTAATTCCTACAACCACATTCCTTTCCTTTCCTTTCCTTTCCTTTCCTTTCC